AGCAATCAAACTTCTGTTGAAAAAATGAAAGAAAACCAAATGCTAAAGGTCACAATAATAAAAGTGTAACTGAGGAAGAAGAAAATTTCTGCCAACTGAAATAAGACCATAAAAAAATGTGATTTGAACATATCAGAAAACTTTTAGTATTTCCTTTCTTGATTGTGAGTGTAGCCCTAAATCTAACTTATAAGGCAGAGGGGGTTTTGCAAGTGTATTTGGGATTGTTTATGGTAAGGGAATGTGTTTTTCAAAAGATTTACATGACTTAACCCCATATGGGAATCCCAACTGGTTTTAAATTATTTTCTGAGCAATTTCACATTTACATGATAAAAATATGGTGTCACACAATTTTTTTTAAAAATTGAATTTACTTCTCTTCTCACCCATCTTGCATTGTCATCGTTTAAAAAAAAAAGGCATCTCACCTTGCAAAGGCTTAAAAACAAAACCATGGGAGTGAAGCAGGAGCTGAACCCTGGTAGTGACTTCTACACAGTTTGTTAAAATGTAAGTCATTGTAACTAACAACAGGCTTTTAATTAAACACAATGACCTGACAGTATTTGTACCCCTCTTTAATCCTTTGTTTGTGGATACATGTGGAGTGAAAAAGACAATTCCAACATGCAACATATGCATCATGCGTGCAGTATTGATTTGAGAGTACGGAAAATATCAGTTTTTCATTTTTGAAAATATTTCTATTTGTAGACCGTTGATAAGTATCTTTATTACATCCATTTTGAAATCAATGGTGGTCCTTGTCTCTTGCTGGTGCAATTTAATTGGGAATCACACCATTTTAAGTTCAAAATCGCATCTTTTTCCCAGCCAATGAGAAAGCTTTACCGAAACACAACAAATCCGACTTCATAGCTAGTTTAAAGAGACAAATCAAATAAAGGAAAATGAAAGACCACATAAATTGCAACTCTTTACCAACTAGCTCAATACTGGATCAACAAAATATTTATACAGGCTAACAAAAACCTGTATTTGAATGACTGAATTTTGCAATTTCAAAATAGATGTAATTGAGTGGTTATTAAAGTTTGTGTCGTGCAATTATGGTCAGAAATCATACTTGTGATCTAAAATCAAACTCCCACTACACACTTGTTTTATAATTTGTGAAACTTTGCATAAATTTTCATACCAAACTGCACTTTATTCAGTTCAATTACCATTACTAATCAACTGCAAGTTTGACAGAATTCATTTTGAATCTTGAGTGGAGGAAACAGTCTCCCCACTAATCATTGATCATAGCAGTTGAGGGAGATTTACAAATAATATAAGCCTTGAATTGAAATACCAGTAGATAATTACCACAAATATGGTAACTTGGTTTCATCAACTAAGTTGATAATGTAAATAGACCACTTTCATAAATGGCTGCCGTATAAATATTTTGTTTAAATTTAAATTAGCCCTACTGGCCTCGCTTGAGATAATGTATTCTTTTGAATTTTGTACCGGAGAACGAGGCCAGTAGGGCTAATTTAAATTTAAACAAAAGAATATTAATCTGGCAGCCATTTATGAAAGTGGTCTATTGGCCATTGTAAAGGGTCTCAAAGCTGATGTTTCGAGTATTGGTGCTTTGTCAGAGCGAATGGTGAAGGGCTAATGCTCAAAACGTCAGCTTTCAGACCCTTTACAGTGGCCAATTTACATCGTCGACTCAGCTGACGAGACCAAATTACCTTATTACCCCCACTGATGCAGCACCAATTTCTTTAGAAACTAACCCCCTTTACCACAGACATGGTTTGTGAAATGTAGTGGTTCTATGTTATTTTCAAATATTTCAATGTATCAGTCATGAATTAGGAAACAGGGTACTTCATTTCCTGTGATTTATTACAGTAAAATATTTCATACAAGTTTGTTGTACTGTGATTTAGTGCTATGGCATAAATTTTTAATTGTTTTGCCTGAGCTCAAGATAATGCTGTAACAGATACATTAATGTTACATTCTTGCATGAAAATAAAACAAACAGAAAAACAAGTCTACTACATGGGAAAATGCTTAGGTCTGGACTCCTAATCATGAAGTATGATGAACCTGGAGGTGGTAGACCTTGAAAAAGCTGGTGAGAGAGAGAGAGAGATGGACTGCCATTTAAACAATCTGTACAAAAATCCCCGTCCTAGCCAAGAGAAAGGTTGTTTTTTGGCTAAATGTCTTAAGCAAGGTATGTCAACAACACCTTATTCAGCCCTTCCAATGACTTCTACACAAGTTGCTGAAATGTTGTCAGTCATTGTTAACAACAGCAGTCCTTTCCAGGACCACTCTGAGCCCAACATCACACTGCAGATCAACTGATACTCCTTCATTAAGCTTTTAGTAATTGATGACTTTTTTCTCACATCATGCCAGTTGAGAAACTGACCTTCATGACGCATCACACAATAATTGCAAAAGTCAATTAAAAAAAAAATTAGGATTATAAACCCAGCTATGGAACTACATGGAGATGAATCAAACTTAGTCCACAAAGAGATGTTAGCCATTTCTAAATAAGAAAAGAGCTCTCAAAGTCATGTACATATATCCTAGTAATATGATTTTAAATACTAGTAGATGTATCATCATTAGTTAACTATGAAACATAGATCACTACGTCAAAAATCAAAGAATCATAACTTAACATGAAAATTGTAATCACCTTTTTGTGTAATAGATATTTGATGTGTTGCTTACAGTGCTTGCTCTTAAATGTAACTCTGCTCAAGGATTATTATCAACACTCAAGTGTTTGTAGGAGATTAGCAAAAAAAGTGTATGAAAGAGCAATTGAAACTTGCACCAATAAAAATGGTCAAACACTGATTGCAAGTTATTGCTGATGTTTTGCACAATAACAAGAGAAAGTAATTCTACTGTTGATTGCTTTGTTTAGTTAACCTTTGACATTCACTTATCTTTAGCTATTAATGATGTACAGCACAAGATACACTTTCAGTAAACACTCACTCCAGATCCTGTTGTTTTTCAAGATAGTTTGACTGATAACAAGGCTTACACTGGTGATGAAAATAATGAAAAATAACATGCGAATAATCACACCTTATAGCTTACTCTGGATTAAGATTTCAAATCGGAAAACGTTTTGCCACAAGTGTAAAGGAAAATTTAGCCAAATGAGCAAAATATCTACATCTACTGTATGTTTAACATCAGGTAAGGGATTAGGCTTCTGGTGTTTTGAAAAACCAGCACATCCTATATTATCTGAAAATTGTAGTGATCAAAAAAGACACATGAAATGGGACAGAAAGAACAAAAAAGAGGAATCCATTCACAAAAAAAAAAAAGAAAAAATGTCTCAGCTCTCTCATGTTTGTTCGATACTTATGTTCTTTCTGAATTCAAAAAAGAAAAGAAAAACTAGAAGAATCCACAACACCAAAAAGAGGAACAAAATAAAAAAAAATATGCAGTTGCAAAAAGGTTTATGGCTTAACAGTGCATAAGTCTTGCTCCTAATGTACCAAAATAAATCCCCTGAGAAGTTATGTTTGATAACATTGACAAGTAAAGGAAAATGGCTTTGATTTTTTCTTAATTCAACAAGCAACTGTTTTCAAACTTCTGGTGAGGTGTAAAGAATTTGTACTTACAGACTATCAGAAGGTCTAGTACGGAAATATGCTGTATCATGGTATCGAATAAAGTAACTTTACCCCTGAAGTATATACTTTTATAGAGGAACTATGTACTACAAAACTACTCACTACTAGACTTGCTCTAAAATACTATCAAAATCTGAACAAAACGGTGCGAAGAGTTCAAGTCCTTAGCGCGTGACCTCTAAAGTTGTAATGTTCATGATAAAGTCGAAACTTACACTAGAAATCAAACGAAATTCATCAACTATACACGTATAGCTTGCAGATAAAAAGGGTTTTAAGTATCGATCGATGGCTCTCCCAAAATAATTAACAAGGAATGATACTATATCTAGCAAGGAAAAACAATACTAGTTATTGGCCTTTACATTGGTGGTTATCTAACCCTTGAAAAACTTGAACACGCTCTCCTTTGACTTCACAGACTAAAATTTGTCCATCTGGAGTGATCGATAGGTCGATAGGGAAAATGCACTGTCCAGGTTCTTTGCCGCGACTTCCAAACTTCGTTAAAAACTTCCCCTCCAGACTGAAAACTTGTATCCGATTATTCCATCCGTCACATACCAACAACTGATCGTGTTGATCGACTGCGAGTCCACGCGGCCTGTTGAACTGCCCGTCGCAAAACCCAGATTCGCCGATGTCTGACAGGAAACTTCCTTGACCGTCGAACACTTTCACACACTGATCGTCGCTGTAAGACACAAAGTACTTTTCGTGACTGTAGGTGACATAGGATGGTCGGTTATTCGTTTTCGGATCGCTAAACTGCTTTAGTAGTGTGCCCTCGGGCGAGTATACTTGGACTTCTCCTTTTTCGCCGCCACTACAAACCGCGATATTGCCATCGCCTGCCATACAAACACCCCAGGGATTTCTGAGGTTTTCGCTAGCGATAACCCGTATTAGTTCGCCGGCTGATGAGAACACTTGCACTCTGTGATTGTCCGAGTCAGTTACGATGATATTTCCATCACTATCGAAGGTACCACAGTATGGGAAATTCATGCAACCGTCGGTTACTCCTTGGGTACCAAAAGACCTCAAAAACACGCCATCTGACTCGAATAATTGAACACGGTGATTACACGTATCTATAACGGCTATTTCACCTTTGTTACTGACTGCTATGCCATTTGGGTAACGAAATTCACCTTCTCCAGTGCCATTAACACCAAACACCTTCAAAGACGCCATCTTCTTTTCTTCTTTGAAAGTGACGCATTATGGGAACGGAAGCACGCTTCTTGCTGTTCATTGAATTCGGCATTTCATTGGTTAAAAAATTCCCGCGAATCTCGCTCTCTGATTTAGGGCGCTTTCTAGTCAACAACAATCACGGGTCCAAATTATATCGGTATTTTCGCGAGTCGAATGGAACGCGTTCGACCTTATCCAAGAGGGCACACTTAAAACGTATTCCTAAATTTTCGAAAACTTATCCCGGAACTGTTCCCGTTCCATTTGATTTCAGACCGGAAATCTCGAAAATTTTTGTCAAATGGAAAGCGCCCAAGTCTCTAACGCAGTTTTCGGTATGAAATCAAAGATACCGATAACTGAATTGTGTTCGGTTCATATTTATATTATACTTCCACAAACAGTTACTATAGAAGAGGAAAATGATAAATAAGGCTGATGAATTATAGTAGGGGAGCATCCAGGAGTGCCTGAAGTTTCAGCAACCTAGTGCTCAGTATTTTCTTGGTGAAAATTTTAGTTGCCATCTATTTTTACGGCAGCTAAGGCTGGGGAGAGAAAGGACTTCGTACTAAGCGGATTCGTTAGCGACGGTCAAAAGGAAAGAGAGAAAAGGTACGTGGCCGGCTGGAGAAACGATGGTGGGCTAGTAAAGTCAACCCTGCACTAGCACTGCACTCCTTGGGATGCTCCTAAGATGAATGAAATAAATAAATCAATAAAAATCACATACGGTAAAATTACAATAACATGCACACAAATCACAAAAGATCGAAATCACTGTTGTAATGCTAAATTGCCACACCATCTGTGACACCACCTTCAATCATTCTCTGTTCATGTGCAATAGCGGTCATCGGTCAACACTCACGGGTAACATTGCACTGTTACCCTCTGAAGTCACGATGTCATAACAATGTAACTGTTAATTACCGTCCAAACTCGTTTCTAATACTAACTCAAGAGGGGAAGAGAGAGGACCCTGGAAACTAGGTTGCGTTGCCCCTTCGGAAGCTTATAAAGGAAGTTTTATCGTTTGATGTCATGACCCTAAGTAACCAATGAGTGCGCTTGCTATGTCAAAATAAGATAATGGCTGAGCAAACTGGTAGACCAAAAGTTTGGAACAGTTAATGATTATTCAGATCAAGAAAGACAGAATTCTTTGTTGCCTGAATTGATTTGCATATTTTTGAGCAAATGAATCCTTGATTTCCTATGCCTTTTCACTAGCAAATGTGACAACCATGCAACTAGGGGGAATGAGGCTAGCCTGGTAAATTTTGTGCTGCAGAGAGCACAGCTCAAGGAGAAAGTGCCAATTCGATCACAGCCTCCACAGTACCATACCAAGCTATACACAGTACCATACCAAGCTATACACAGTACCATACCAAGCT